TCCACATCTGTCCTCCAGACATTTATGAAATTACCATGGAACTATTCCCACCAGCTTGTGCTGCTAACCAAAGAATCACCCAATTTATAAATTTAGAAAGGAGACTTTATTTCTGATAAAGGGTTGAAGCTGCAGGGCAGCCTCTTAACAGGCTGGGAAGCAAAGCCTCCCACAGAGACTGTGAGCAGGCACTTCAAGAGAGGGAGAGATGAGAAATGAATTCAAACAAATGGATTGGCCAAGTGGACACACTCAGCAGCCTATAGAAGGAGCTATGGATATTCACATGGCATGCAGGCTCCATATGTAATAAGCAAACACACATGCTACATGCATTTCAGGTTTGCGTTGGGGTGAAGACTTAAGAACTAAATGAATTGCAGTTGGGCCCTGCACATCAAAAGGGCTTTGTGCAGGGGCAGAAAGACACACAGTGCACAGCCTCCAGAAATTGGCCAGGACAAGTCCATGGTCAGTGGTTTCTTCTCAGAGAAAGTTACAGAAATCAGTCTCTTGTCCAATCAATGCTCTATTTACGGCTGCGAAACAGGGGCACAGTTACCCAATGCCTGGAGTTGCATGAGCTGCAAATGTTTTAATATTGCTTATCTCAGGACCAGTGCTCGTTTAACTGTTACAGAAACAGAAAAACCCCTGTGGAAGTTACAACATATTCTATTTTTTTTTAACTGTAGGGATGAGTGACTTAATCCTTGCCCGGTGTGACCTTAGGTCTTGTTTACAATTTGGTATCTTATTGCCAATGTGTATAAGAGACAGGGCATAGCCTTAGGTCTTGTTTGTAATTGGGTATCTTATTGACACAGAAAGTTTGTTCCATCAGTGTGATGATCTCTATTTTTATGTCTTTCTAGTTTTTGGGTCCTAGTTTTCCCTGCAATTTCATTTCTTCATCTCATATAAGAAATCTTTGACAATCTATTTTCCAGGCTTATATTATTGTAAGAATGTGGGTGATGATTGACATGCTCTTTACATATTAAAGCAGAAACCAGAAGTAGCTTCAGACATCACCAGTGACCCGACAGAAGCAGCAGGAATCTCATCTCATTAAGTGTAAGTGGCACCACACACGTAGCTGAACATGCAGGGACACAGAATACCCACAGCACAGGACACATATGATAAGTTTTTATGATTCTGGGGCTCTGCTCAGGAATCTGGAATTCACATGGCACTACAGGGATGGACTCAGTTGTTTCTCGGGTGATACTGTGTTTTGGAAGCTTATTTCCACTCCTGCAGTGGATTCAGTAGCTGTACCCAGGTCGGTACCCCTGAAACAGAAACTCTCATTAATTAAACACAGGACCCACTAATAAGAAAGCTGTCCCCAGGGAAGGTGCAGAGCAGGGACCTCTGCGTTTGGGAACCTGCGGCTGTACAGGGAGGTCAGGAGTGTGACCCATTTCCTTCTCCTGCCCCTGCTGGCTGCACCAGGAGCTTTACATTG